GGGGGGAAGGTGGCTACAAACTGAGCAATTGATAAAAAGACGACTCCAAAACGAGTGCAAATGTACTGTTACGGATACCTCGGCGCGGGAGGTATGAGCGCTTTCGCGCTTCGGAAGAGTATCCTACTGACTAACCGTGCGTTCAAGTCTCCAGAGGCGGAAGATGAGGAAGCGACTGGAGCCGGGGCCGGAAGGGTAAAACGCCAGTTAACTGATAAAAAAGAGTGTTTCCCCCTGTAATTTCACGTCTCGCCACCCGACCGGTTGAGCTTGGCGATAAAGGGCGGGGCCTCAGCGACCTCCCCTCCGAAACAGTGGCGAGATTTGAGGCAAAAAAACAGGAAATAGGAGGGATTTTGTCAACTCTCTTTTCGGCGATTCCCGATTTCGCTCGCGCCGGGTCGCCGCGCTCTGCCCTCCAGATTCCTGAATTTTTCGACCGCTGCACACTGGAGCGAGTGAATAGGAGAATTCGGACGAAATTTGGAAACTTTAAAAGCTAGTATCTTCGAACATATGAAATAAAAAAGTTTGAAAGTGGCTCCATCGGTTTTTTCGTGAAATTTCCTGTCAGAGACATCCTTGGAAATTGAGTTTGTGACGGAATAAATGTAAAAATTTGAAAGTTTAGCCCAAAATTTCATGTCCGACCTCTTCTAATAGTTCGTTCCACTGTGCGTTGTGGAGCGAGAGGAATTTTAATCGCGAGCTCTCGCAAAAAACTTTCGTTGAGATTCGGCTGCGTTGCTGGAATTCTCAGGCGTAAAAAAGTAACTACAATGTTGAACAATTCAACTCGTATTTCGTATCTTTACTCGGAATATTTACACAGGAAGTTTTGCTGATTTTTCAGAGGATTGCTGGCAAAATTCAGCAGAACTCTGGACAGGAGTTGAACGATAATTTTGATGTGTTAAAAAGAAGTTTGGCAGCCTTGGAATTGAGTTGCGTTCTTTCTTCTGAAGAACGAAAAATTGCGCGTGAGTCTCTTGTCGTAAAATGGGGCGTCATTGATGAGCCGCACGCGAAAATGAGGATGGCATCTATTTTATGTGCACTGCCCGGTTTGTAAAAATTAAATTTTTGATGAAGGTTACTTTTCCGCGAGACAGAAAATTTAATTCGACTTATAAATTAAACGACGAGATGAAATTGGTTTAAGGCTTTGACAAACATGGGTCGCGCAAAACAGCAATCCGACTATCCGGCTATCCGCGGCTCGATTTTCTGCGACGAAAAAGCCTACACGAACAGGAGGCTAAGAAATTTTAACGCATTGACAGAGGAAAGTTGGGGGAACGGGGAGGCTCATAGCTGAAGATGTACCTCCATCCACCCAACCATTCAAGTAAAGGTGGGAGGTATACACTGTCGTGCTAAGGAAAAACGCCCTATGAACATCCGAGAGTCGCCAAATTTCCCCTCTTGAAATATTAATTTTTGAGAAAATTAATCGATATTTCTAGTTGAGATTTTCTGATACTTCAGATTACATTGCTAAGAAAATTCTCTACACTGTTAAAAATCGTTGATTCCGTCCGACGGAAAATCCGGAGTGAGAATGAACACGGGAGTGCGGTTCAGCGCGTAGGTGCTGAGACGGGCTGCATGTGTAGTCAAAGCACTCCGCACCGGAGCTGCAGTACGGCCCGGAGTCACGCGCACCTTCTCTCCCTCGCACTAGCGCTATATACTGTCTCTTCTCCCCTTTAAGCCTACCACCCTCAGAATGAAAATGAAAAATTTAAAGAGAAAAAAATAGAAAAAATAATAGAATAGTGGAAATAATAGAATAGTCGAAATTATGGTATAACAGAGACAATAGAAAAGAAATAAAATAAAGTAAATCAAATATATGATAAAATGAAGTCAAATACTAAATTGAAGTAAATAATTAGAGGGAGCAAGGAGATGAAGAAAAAAATAAAATAAGGGAAACAACTAAATGATGTTAAAGAATAGAATGAATTTTAAGAGTAAAGAGAAGTCCAAAAATTATGATGAAGTATTAAAAGAAATCACAGTAAATATAAAACAAAGTAAAGGAATGAGAAGTAAATAATTAAAGAAAAAAAAATGAAGTGCTTGAAAAAATAAAATAGAGTGAAGAAAAAATAGAGACAACAAGGAAATAAAACAAAGTAAAACGATAAAATATAGTTGAAAAATATAGTAAAGTAAACTAAATACACGGACAAATCCAGGTAGATTGAAAATATCTTAGCAGCCCGTTCAAATCGACGTTAAATACCGTTTTTGCGTCACTTGCATGCATCGTTTGCTATAGCTCAATCGGTAGGGTCGTCGGTTAGTGTTAGGTAGGTCCCGGGTTCAATTCCCAAGGTAGGTAGAAAATTTCTAATCTTCAAAATCGATTAAATCACGTACCAACGGTTTCATTATATTTATTTTTCATGGTTTCAAAAATTATTTCCACAATTCACCCCTTTCCACCATCCCCTAGCTGCGAACCCCTAAATTTGCGGCTCCCGCGAATCCGTCCGGCGTCGGAGTGATTTCTATGCGTACGGCACCCAAAATCCGTCCAGCCGATTCTCCGTCGGAG